TATACTATTGTCATTGCATATATGTATACTATTGTCATTGCATATATGTATACTATTGGCGGATGGTTTTTTCTTCCGCTCACCTTTGCTTATATTTTATAGACATTTTAATTTGTTTGAAGAAATAATTGGATTTTTTCGAAATCATGTGTTACTAAGATCAAGAATTAGTAAAAGAAGTTTTTTATCCAAATTTTTCAGAATATGAATAAAAAATTGCGGCCACTTCCTAAAAAGTGAGCCAATTTTTCGCCAATCACAAATGTTTTGGTGTTATTTTGTTGGAGAAATGATGAGACATTAAGCAAACAGAGCTTCACAGCATGGAGATAGTTTTCATCACTTGACAGATACATGTATAATTATATAGAAGGTATTGGGAGGTCAAGAGACAGACAGCACATGAGCTTTTAAGATCGTCAGCACAATATTTAGGTTTTGCAGTAAAAGCAAAAAATGTTTTTGTCGAAATTGCACTGTGTCTAATATGTAATAATATTTGTTCAATTCATTTAAGTCTTGATAGCAATTTTGCTTTAGATTAAAGTGCGATTGTATATACCCACTCTTTGCACATCGATATCAAAGTATTATATAACCATAATGTAAGACACCTCAGAACAGCATCATATTTGCTGAAGGCAGAAAATAATAAAAGATATATGATATTCAGATCATCATTAAAATTTTATTCAACCTTACCAATATTTTATACAGAATACAGATATGAGGGTGGTTAGTTAACAGTGACGGAAGAGATGCACAGGGACTTTCGACAATTTGGATACATAATGGTCAGGTAAACTTGGTAGACTAATTGGCGACCTTAATATATTGTATATATTATAAACAGTGTTTCTAATTCCATACGAGCCTTCCAGACTTTTTCATTCCGTGATATTGATCGATCACTCAATTCAGAGAAACGCACACTGGGCCGAATGATTGTTAAATCTCACAGTTGTGCGGACGGTGTGCGCACCATGTATGAACGATATTTTTTTGTAATCTCGGGATGCTTTCATCGCTTGTGTAAAACGGAAATGATCCGATTTGATACACAAATTTGCAAGGTTCTAATTGGTCGACTAATAATGCGCCTACTAAGTTTGGAAACAAAACCTCGGCGGGCACGAAATACCAGTGATTGACGTCCGTTGCGTCTGAGGGAGCGATATTCGAATCGATAGAATCTCTTTTTGACACCTGTATTGTGTAACCAGTTTTTGCAATATTACTGCAAAATTCGATGTAATTTTTGTTAGAAATCATGTAAAACTAATTAATGATGCCAAGATCTCCATTTCACAGATCCTAAAAATTATACCTTCTAGATTCGCTAGTCAATAAAGGTAAACGAATGATATAAAGGGCACACATAACTTGTTCACTACAAACAGTTATATGTGTACGGGCACTTTAGATACGATTTATGTTGTTCGTACCACTAATGGTATTATTGCAATAAAAAAGAGTTCCTACTCTTTGCCCTGTCAATAGATAATGTCCTTTCTTTTCACATTCCTTGTTATTATGTTACACTAACAACCTCAAGTTGCGTGACAATAACGATGTGAAGAAGTCATATGATACACTGTACCACATGCTTTAGAACAGCTCAGCCATAAGATACCATCAGGTTGTATTTGTATGCAGGTAAATTAATCTTTTTTTCTTGTCAACGGTGTTATACTATACAACTGTGATGTGTATGGATATCTGTTGTTCGTAATACTTATAAATACCACAACAAAGGAATTACGACATGCAATAGTCTTGTTAACTAGATTCTATCGTATCTGCTTCAAAACAACTAAAAACAAAAACATGAAAAAACTTAAACAAACATCAGTCGCCAAACGCATTCAGAAAATGCAATATGATATAAATGTAGCAGTGATATATCTGCTACAAATTAATTGTTTGGAGACGTATTGTCATCTACTTATACATGTACAAGGAATGGTTATAGACATTAAGACTGGAAATACAGAGGTCGCAATTTTTGAATCCCCTAAGTAATATCAAAAAAATGTTATGAAAGTTATCTGGCATTTTATCAATATTACATGTATTTTGCAGTAAGACAATCCTGTAGAAAAGGTACATACAATGAGACCTAAATGTTCGTGTTTTGGTATGACTATGACGTGTGTTTAAGTATACATATACACTGAGGCCGACCTCAATCGCAAGTTTTAACAACAGACTTTAATAAATTCTTGGTCCTATTCCAAATCAGTTAAGTTCCTGGTTAACAAGAAGATCTGGTGATAGTGACGCGAAATTTCTTTAAATGCTATATATAATCAGCGGAATTTTTTTTATGTAGGGCAAATTACATAAAATGATGGTACCTTATAAAATATATAAACCTTTCGGTATGTAAAATCACATTATGTGGTAGTAGCAATCCAGCTAGCTGACAGTAAAGTCGAGACTATATAGAATATTAGCTGATGAATTATCATTCATATAGTATTTAATAAAAACAGTAAGTGTTGTCGAAGTAGGGTTGCTATTATTTATTCATGTATTTTTTATATCCCATTTTGAGTTTAGAAACCGCACCTTTACGACAGATATAATACCGATTTTGTTTTGTTTCCAATTGTTTACTATCAGTATTGTTTTTGTTACACCATGATACTAACTAAATTTAGAACTGAACTTTGTCCCCAAATGTCGCTGTAAAATCAAATTATTTATTCATCATAGCATGATATTCAAAGCATGAATAAATTGTATCGCGGACTTAAATACATTTGTAGTAATAATGTTTGTATCAGTAATGAAATACAGGTGGTCAATGGTGTACATGTATAAAATATTTCCTCAAATCTTATCAAATGTTTAGTTATTGTGCTTTTTTTTAAAAATATTATGGAAGGTGTCAAAAGAGGTGTAGAGAGATTATTCTTCTTGAGTAAGAAGTCTTGTCTCCATATTTTCTGAAGGTTTTATGAAGCCGTTCTCGTTGTTTTAGTGTGTTTTCGGTAAATGGTAAATGTTTTTTGTTTTTTTTTTGTCTTTTCCGTAATAATGTACTTATCCAACACTACAAAAGTATTGCCATTCTTATCATTCACGTGTGAGCCAGACGCGTTAAAATGACGCTCGATCAAACAACACCGTTAATAAAATCGATTTGTTCTTCCGGATTCACAGGATAGGATGTTGTGGATTTATTTTGACCCAGACATTGTATCAGGTGGGAATGAAAACGTCTATAAAGGATGGAATATTTTCAGAAGATTCGCCTTTGACAAAAAAGGTAAAAATGAAGATATCAATGATGTACAGCCGTTCTCTCACTATCTTATGGAGTGGATCCTGAAAGATATATCAAAATACGATTAATTGGTTTATTGTTTCCCTATATCGGTTAATTGACGTCACAAAAGCCGTATGATGTGTAAAGGGACATATTAGATGACATAACTTTTTTTCTTCATCCTCAAAGATATGATCATGATCTCGTGGATGTCCGTGATTTGTAATATCGATTATTTTAAGAAACAGCAGGTGAATATTCACTTCATGACGTCATTTCGATTGTTACATCAATGTTCTCTGCCAAATGCAGTGTATTTTTACTTACAATTTTCATACTTTGTACGTTCCATCTTGGTCAATAATTTAAACATATCGCATCTAATATAACAATTAGTACTTTTATTTCCGTGTCTTGGTCAATATCGCTTTCGCTTTTTCAGAAACAAATATAACCACATATTCACTCCGACAAAAGTCCATAATTGATCAATATAAAGTGGTTATTAAAGACCATGAACAGGAGTATATCAATCGCGGTATCATCTGATAGAAGATAAAATGATAAGTATCCACTGAGTTAAAGTAATAAACTAACACAACCAAATGTTGTTAAATATGTTGATATTTTACAAGATATAGATGAAAAAAGATTGAAACACGCCAATTGTCCTTCTAAATGAAATGTATTGATGATAAAAAGTTGAGCAAAGACAATTTCGGATTTCCCGGAAATCAGTAAAGGGTATGGAGGACTTACCTGGTCTGTTTGTAGATAAGGATAACGCATGAATGGAGTGTGTAAGGATGTTATCCTCAATTTGATCATCAGGAAGATATTTTGAAAGTGTAGATACTGGTTTGAACATCTGATTTTATTAGAAACCAATACTTCTATTGATCGACATTCAGCATACCACATAAGTTGGCACTAAACAAATTGAAAACATACCATCCAGTATCTTCTAGTATATTAGTTTGAAATACCAATATTAAAATTCGCTTTCTTTTCAATTATTGACTTTTAAGCTCGTGTATTGAACATATAGGGACGTCATAATTTTGCATAACGTCATCGAACGCTATCGCAGTTCATGAAGTTTATCATTTTCAATCAGCATTGGAATTGATAAAGCAATACAATGCTCGAATCAATAGTTTTAATCAAGAGATATGAATGCGCCAAAGTATCTATTGTTAAGTACACATACCAACTTTGTGCAGGCCAGGTCATCCATTTCAAATAACCTATGATATGGGTACCTTTGTCCATTTTGGGTTTAGCTGGAATTAGTGAAACAAGATATTCATTTCAAATTGTTCATTCTAAGTAGATTGGTGATTGAACAGACTCTAATATACAATGGCATCGAAAATAAAACGGTCTTCAAAATAGGTCGGCTTCGAAAATAAACCTGGAATAAAAAATAAAATGGGCCACGGCGTCTTTTTGAGATTTAAGCGTAGTCCGACTTCGCATACAGAAATTGGGCACATTAAAAAAGGACTGGACATTTAAAAACGCATTGTACTGTTTGACATGAAAATAACCTTTTACAAAATGTTATATATGTACATGTAGCATAGTGTTTTCCTTCACACGTACATGGGAGCAGATCTACTGCTATAAATATAAAACAAAACACTGCTTCACATGAAAAACAAGTAGTGATTCACATAGCCTCGCCGATGTTGTTATTTTGCTTTGGCAGTATTTAACTATTGCAATTGAACCCCAACTTACGTACATGTACACCATATATACAGTATTAACGAAAGCTACACAAACTTTTTTTTTTATTCACCACATCACAATTTCATCCATTAAGTTTAATCAGTGGCATCACCGGTCAAAACGATGAGGTTTGCTTCAGTTTAAAACTATACATTTCCTGTTTGCTTACATATAGACGTGGGCGTTTCAATTTGAGTAAGAACATTGAGGGAAGACATTAACTTCCTACTTTGAGTGTGTGACTAATAGATATCAACCAATACATTCCTTTCAGGTAATCACTAATTGGATGTTTGTGATACCCCATTAGTACAGCATTTTTCGTTATTATCGACACATTTATTGATTTTCCTTTTGTCTTAATCCTTTATTATTTTACCGTCATCATACAGACGTCACAATTTAGCCAAATGAATGACATCACCTTTTAAAATCTGAAAGCGTTATATTTATGGACATTTTTAATCTTATACTTGCAAACCACCTCCAGACATCCAGGTGTTTTGAATTTTTCGAATTTTAAGGTTTTTTTATCTCGGGTAGTGTGTGGTTTGTTAGAAAAGGTTCTATAACCCTAACCGCTATAACTAAAGATATCGCAAGGTACTGATTATCTAGATCGTGACATTATGTTCATACATGCATCTGCACTACTTCACTTGGTTCATTATTCACTTACTGAGCCGTATATGTTATTTAATTTCATACTCGCGTTTACTGAACTATAAAACTATGTTATCTCATAAATAGAGGTGACAAAACATTCTTAATAAGTTCAGACAATGTTCCACCGCTGATGAAACATGTGATGTGCCAGCCTTATTTAAGCCCCTATAGGAGGATCTTTCTAGTTGTTCGATTTGTCTGCTTCTAAATAAAATTATAATTTCCATTATGTATTCCATCTTCTAATAAATATGAGTGATTACAGACTGAAATGCCATGGAAAAGGACACCCTTTTTAAACACAGTTTATTTGTCTTTTAAGCAATTTGGATAAGGTATAACACTTTTTTTCAAACTTTACATGAAATAGACAGCAACACTGAATGAAGTCGATACAGTAACACTTAGGATTGTATCAATAACATATGAACCAATGGACCTAACTAGCTCAGCAAGGACAGAAACTGTTATCATAGCCGATGACCAACAGGTGTGCTAGTGCTTGTTTCGTATATACATGTACGCGCTGCTAGGTTCAGAAAATGCACACTCACGTTAATCATTTTACTTTTGACAAACACAAAAAACTTCGAATTTAGATCGAAAATGTATACATTCACGAAACTATCTCTACTGACCGTGTGCAAGGCTGTGATCCAGGTTGATGTCAATAAATATTCGTACCTAATTTAGCCAAATAGGGCCTGGAATTTAAAAACCTCGGGGCTTGAAAGCAAACATCTACTATTTTTCGTTCTCGCTCTGTCGCCATCTTAAAGTGTCTATTCTATAACGGGTACACAACAATAAAACATACACATACGTGTCAACATACGTCAGCCATCACAATCTTTTTAATTACGATTTTACTTTATTTTCGTATAAAGATCAGAAGTTAGCACATGAGATTTCGATATTAATTGTTTTTTTTACACAATATTTTGATCATATCGTTGAATATGTTGTTGTAAATGTATGCAATGATGCACGAAAATGCATAAAACTTAACTCCTTCTGTCGAACTATTTTTTAAATCACCTCTTGTTGGCATTGTTGATATCGGGATAAGGGAGATAACTCGTATGGTTTATTCAATACACGCATTAGATTTCGAAATCCTATTTCGTCTTGTCTATACTACGTCAGAAAACAACAAACACATCTGTACGTTTGCCCGACTAGCCTGTCGCGTGCATCAGACAGATTTTAATGAGTGTAGCACAGCATTAGCAGATTACGTTCAACCATGCACCCTTAACACGATATACTCACATCCCTTTTCCCCCGCTCTAAATATCATACCTTATACAATCCTATCCGTATATCGAAAAAGTTCTCTGAAAAGAAAATAAACGAGCCACCCAACCTGAAACCCTGCTGGGACTACAGGAAGCGCACCAGACATGAATGCATAGGCTTCAAAAACTCTGGGATTCTACATAAAACTGTACTGCTTCTCCACTGCCGTACGGGAACACAACAAAAACTGATCTAAACCTAATCGAAAAATATAAAACCCGGGGAAACTATTCCTTTGATAAAAAATATAACTTGTTACTGCGACCGGCACGCTAGAAAATTGGCGCACCTATCCGCGTAGAATCGCACCCCACGATAATGCAGGTTCCAACACTCTGATTGGCTGACCAGATCTTCCTGAGTCCACCCGTAATTCCACCCCTGACCTATACGTTCCCACAAGACAGATATTTCCTTTTATTACTCCGAAACGCAGGAATATTTAAAAAAAAACGGTGACATTTATTTATTGATTCAGTTATATTTTTTTAGTATAAAGATATTTTACAATTAATTGTTTTCTGTAAAACAAATAAGTGTGTAAGTACGCGGATTTCCCTTAAACTAGGAGAAATAAAATTAGAAATGGAAAAAAAACACGGCAAACACACCAATAAAATAATAAACATTTTAATTAAACATATTGCCCTCCTCGTTTATGTCCTTAAATACATCAAATAGCCAAAATGATAATGAATAGTACACTCTAAGTTGAACACAAGTGGATCTAGGTATTTTCTTATGTTATGTTACATGTAACACAAAAACAATTTCTCTAGATTTCTACTCCAAAAGGACAGTCTTAGATGGGAGTAAAGCATCTTCTCTGTCAACACAACGACTAGATTTCAGTACCTTCATTTAGTTAACGATCATTTTCAAAATTCTCACTCACTCTACATACAATCCAACTCCTGATTATTCTAGATGTTTACCGAAAAGATCTTTTCTATCAGAACACATCAATTATATATCAATGCAATTACACGGAAACGCAAACGCAGAATGATCTACAACCGTTCTTTATCTCCATATATCAGCTACATCTCAATATTACTCCAAGCATACTATGAAATAAATATGGTAGACATATATTTAAAAAAAATAAAAATATACACAAATAATTATAGCTCCATCCCCTCGGAGATGCATGCTTCTGTATCATGTTCAGTTCTTTGTTTTTAGGCAGCTTCAGTATACAAGATACTCTAATCTCTCACAATTATCAGTACCTGGTATAAAGATGATGCTGTACATGTAAGATTTATATTTAAGTAAAGAAGTGTATAGTCAGCTGGCTTGCCTTTAACGTACACGTATACCATAAATAGAAACACACATATACTTTCACATTTTGAGTTCTTTTCCTTTTAAAAACTATCTAAGTCAAAAAATTCCTTTCTTGATTATGCACAACAATATAAATCAATTCTACTTCTTAAAGTGACATATAAAGCTCTATAAAGACAATCCACTCCGATATATAACTTCTACCATTTTAAGGTTGAACCGAATCTTCTCATGTAAATATGTCGGGTCCCTGGCATCACACATGGCTTGCTTCCTTTAAATAAAGCGCGTATTCTCTCAGGTATGGTACTAATCGGCTCTCCGTTGGATACCAGCTGTCGGATATATTCCTGGGCGATGTAGAGCCGGGTTCTCGCAGCTCTGTGAACAATGTCGTCCTGCAAATAACAAAGGGACATAACTCATCTTATCATAACGCACGTTAGCGCTACTTCTGTGAGACTAAAGGTGATAATAAAATATGAACATATAAGGAAAAGTATGAAACAGGAAAATCACAGATTAAATTGATTGTATATAAATGTAACTATTTATCTGTTAACCATATGTTAAACATATCTGCATTAGATGGAACTGAAATATACTCTTATTATAATAACTTGATCACGGTAGACAGAAAGTACATAAATTAACTCTGCCTCATTCCCCATACCTCATGATTGTATATAATTATACACTGCGTGACTAATGAAATGTTATGACAGATACGCAGATGTGAGCTGATATTGATCCCACACAACGAATTCAGCGGACTTGAATGTATATTCACATATTGTTTTTATGTTTCACGATACAATATAAGCATTTAGGTAAACACTAAACAATTTTCAAAGACATTTCAATGAGAATAGATATTGATTACATCTGGTTATATATCTTTGTGAAAAATATTGTTTGGGATATAGATATTTATATGAAAATATCAGATGTCGCACATTGTTCCTACATCCTCATTAGCTGGATCAAAACCCCATGGAGGTCGGTGATTTGTGATACTGTCTTTGTCTTACTACTTTTAGAAAAAGCAAGTCAATATTCAGCTGAAGACGTTATTCAATTGTTACGCCACAATGCTCTTTGATTAAAGCAGTATTTTATTCCTGACATTTTCCATTCGTTCTATCGTTTTGGATGGTTATTTAACATTTGATATAACTATGAAGAACATTTATATCGGTGAAAATGTGGTTATATTGACCCGATAATTGATATTTATCACTTATCTGGGTTCAAATAGCTACTTATTCAACTCAATATATGTCCATAGAAGATGTATAATATACAGAGGACGGAGCGGTTTGCATTAAATAAGTTCACGCGCATATCATGTACATATATTGATTACTTTTTAAACGGTCATAGACGTGTAAGGGACCCACATTTATCACAATTGTCCGGCCCATGTGCACAATAACAAAAGTTGTAAGATGCTTAATAGCGTAATCTTACCTGGTCGTAGGAAGCATCCCGGGTCCAGTGGTTGTGATACATGGTCATTGGGTTTCCTATTTGATGGATCCCTATCGTGTTCATAAGAACTGTGTTCATGGCGACAAGGTCCAACTCTAGTGCACATTGATTTTGGTCTTCTGCATAATTGAGTAGCTCCAGAACACATACCTCGGCTAAACAATACATCTGTTAGAACAGGGAAAACATTAAAACAAATATATGTGTTAATTTACAAATACAAAACATCCAAAGTCCTTGTCACGGTTAAATGAAATAGAACTAGCACAAATAGATCCTTAGTACTCTCACCTCTTTAAAAGGTCATCAGGGAATCAACCTGATAAACCTATAATGAGGTGAACGTTAAACTAGGGAATTGATAAGAAACTCTTTGTGTTGGCCTTTGTTTTGAGAAATAGTAATAATTAGTTCCTATATGATGAAGACAGAGAAATCTCAACCGTCGGCAAAAGATTTCATCCTCCAAGAAAGACTTGTGCTAAACATAAAAAAAATCTTTACTTCGAGTTAGTATTTCTCTTTCTACGTCACAGAGAAAAATATTATGTTCCTTTATAGTTGTCCCTGTTGACTCTACAAGCGATTGTAATGAGAACTTTACTCCGATCAAACCAAAAGTATTCAACCATTTTCAACCCTTACATTAGTACAAAAATAAAACTATGCATTGCACATCGCACATGTTATCAGAGTAAACCATTGCCAGAAGTATTTTCAGGTGTTTTTTTAATAGGTATTTTTTATCATGTACATTTCCTTATGCGGAAATCAATGCACTTTATTTTAAATTCATAATCACTGAGGACGTAATATAAGAAACCTTTGCCTAAATAAGTAAAGATTACATTCACTGTACCATAGTTAATAGTCGCAATATCGAAAGGGTAAAGAACTGTAAAATTTACTTACGTAGATCATTATAATATTAAGTATGATTCTGTCATTGTTGGTATCCATGCTAAAAAGAAACAAAATGAATAATTGTCATCATAGTTGTCGCCGAGTAATATTGAGTTACCAAACACTTCAACTGGGGTTAGTTATTCAGAATTTTTAAACAAGAGGACTTTTAAAACGAGTCTGAGTACTGGTGTAAAACAATAATAATCGAGAATTTCATCACACTTGCTGACATAACTTACTGTTTTCATTGTTCGTCTGAACAAAAGTGTCGTAAGTTACAACACGTGCATATTGTCTTGCAGAATATAAAGAAGACCTTGCATCTTAACACAATCGTTAGAAAAAAGGGATGCTTGTCCTAAAATTACTGGAGGGAAATGAATGATTTGAAAATCCTCTGTGTATCTAATAAAACATATTTACACTTGCTCTGCATCCGTTCATTGCAATGCATTGCGAAGACTTATGTTGCTGTGAGACTAAAACAACATTTTCTATAGTAACGTCATCAATCTCTATAGTTACGTCATCAATCTCTATAGTAACGTCATCAATCTCTATAGTAACGTCATTAATCTCTGTAGTAACGTCATCAATCTCTATAGTAACGTCATCAATCTCTATTGTAATGTCATCAATTGTTTTGTTGTCAAGACTTAATATGCTGTTCAAAGTACTGTTCGAAATTTTAAAATAAAGCATAGCTACCCTATCAAAATGTAAATATGAATAATGATTTGTTTTGTTTTGCAAATATAGTTATGGTCCTATAACACACATTTTTGTAACCCTATCTGGCTTTATAGCATTTTTTCATCAGTGACAATGTGCGATATAGGACTATTACAACGTACATGTGCTAAACTAATCATTGCTTAATTAGCTGATCTGCTATTCACTCTTTTGAGTTAAATCAGTAAAACCATGACTTTTCTTGGAGTCGAATTGCTTGTTTTTCTGCCCTAAAACTATTATTATAATTTTGCTTTTAACGCTAAGGAAAGAGCAATCCTTCATTAAGAATGATTTTATGAAAATTGATAATATTCACTGTAAATGCCTTTTCCTAAATTTGTTTCTGCAATTATTACAACATAAGTAATTTTTTGAATACTGTAAGATTTTTATAATGTTTTATTCATTCACGCGCGTGATGCACTTCAGCTTAAAAATAAATGGTTGTAATGTAACAAAATAACAAACAAACTCGAACCAAAGTGTGTAAACATAACCTCCGAACGGAACTCATCTTCGCGAATATAACTGATGCTGTAGTACTCTTTACCGTTACTACTAAAAGGAGTCATATCAAACACAAACTATTAAAAACAAGTAGCGTGCCAATGAAAACATGTTCCCACAGGTAAGATATCATTGAAGTGTGACTGTTATACATATATTGACTGTAAAATCGTATTGCCTTGCCATTGGACGGCGATACTTTTGACATGCTGCCAAGACCACGTATTGGAGGGTACGTTTTGTAATCGACAGAAAAAAGATCATTGGTATATAACGTGCGTTTACAACATATTCTGCAATGTAATTTGACTGCGTTACTATCGCGAATGTTATAACTGTGTCGTGTATATTCTATTGATACTGTGGAGTATTCTGTAGATGTATTGGACGTATACCGTTGATCAATTCTACGTTGTGGTGGTTTATAAATGATGACTAACCAAGCCGTCGTTAACTTTGATATATCAAAATCATTCATATAATAATAGATCGTTCGTTGCGGTTCTTTGCATCGGCAGCTCTGAGTCGCATGTTTCGTCTATATATTGCTATTACAATATTTACATTTTTCGTTCCTTTTTTAAATTCGTCTAATCCAACGGCGATATCACACTGTTCCCAGTGATGTCGAGAAACTGACTTCACATTTTTTTCAAGGATGCTTTATATCTACATACATTTTAGATGTATGTAATTGGTGATGTTAACTGTTATCAACAGTACATATTTTTTCGTATTTTTCATATTTCTCATTTGTAATGCTTTAGTAGAATCTGTTTAAGCTAACAATGATATCGCATATAACTGATATAGATATTTGACAAGTAATACAATTATTTGCTCTTTTGGCAAACATTAAGTCTTATTTAATTCTCGTGTTTGTAGGTTTAATTAACACTGCTGTAGTATTTAAAACTCTTTTTATAATAAGATCTTAATCCTACTTTTTTTTAAAGCTGCCTAAAAGCAATATTGACTTTTTTATCAAAATTAACTGGAAACCAAGAGCTGCATACAAAATGTAAAAGATAACAGATCTATGATATGTTTCCGCTGTAAAAATATAAACATTTTCCTCGAGGGAGATAAAAACGAAATGTTGCTTGAGATCGATGGATATTTTAAGAGATTCCTCGGGATATCATAACTCAATATCTTGGAATAGTAATATTTTCTTCTTTGTCATCTGGGTTTAAAATAAGACAGAATTGAATTCAGCTATACGTTAAACATAAACGTTTTGGAGGGATTATTCGAACCTTTATTCTTGTGATATTTTATAAATGTCTATTGATATTTATAGATTATCACATTTTGTTTACAGGATTTGCGGTGGCTTCTCATTTTGTCAGCTACATAATCCTTGACAATTATATGTGATAAACTGTCTAGCATGTAAGCACTATTACTTTTTTTTTAAATGTCATTAGCAGCTCTATTAGTATATTTTGTTTTACTCACAATCAATTACTTTATAATGACTTTATTCTGACAGGGAGATTTTTAATTGATAGCGGTTCGGTTCATAAGGTCACCTGGCGCAAGCATACATTCTATTTCCGGTAAGAAACCATTCTCAAGTCAACTTCCTTATAGAGTATCCCCAACTTTTCCCTTTAAAATGAAATTATCGTCGCTATTAAAAATGTATATAACCATTTAAAACATGATGCCTATTACATGTCACGAATCGTGAATGAATCCGAACATTTGTTATGCCTTTGCATATTTCTGATTGTATTGCCTGCTGTACGTTTCTCCGCTAAAAACAAACGGTACGTTGTCTTTGAAGAATTTGTAAGTGTAATGTTCACTTATCGATGACATTAATTATCATTTATGCTTTAACGTAACTAATGTATGTTGATATTGTGTGCGAAATACTTACTTTTGTTTCATTTGATATATGTTCTCAAAGAAAATGGCCAGCTCCAATTGAATAGTCGAACGAATGCACAGTAAAACACGCATGCGCTGAAACATCAATATAATACACGCAACAGTGTTTCGTATTTACGTAAATATTATTTTGAATATGCTTGTATTTGAATGGTGCAGAAAAGGTCCGGAAAAACCATCTTAGCATGATACACACATGTGATTACACCTATATAACTTGGTAGTAGATTGAGTATGCCAAAATGATTTTAATACACAATACTGTTATTCTGCTCTTCAAGGATTTATCAGTGATGCTAAGGCCCAAAACAATAAAAAATGTAGAGGTTGAAAATAAGATAGGTGTGTATATTATGAAGAGTACCACTACCAAAACGAGATCATTGTGGCTCTCAAGGAGACGGCAGCATTTTGGATCCACCAGCCGACTTTACATTAAGTAAGCACCAATTCTGTTTCTGTTATTAAGCAGACGGGTTGTTGCAAACAATTTGCATATCCTGAGAATAAGTATCACAGACAGAATCATAACTTATTCACTCACATAATCAGAACAGTATTGACGGCTCCAGAATTTCTATCATTACATTAAAATATCTGTCGTTACCGTACAATTTAAAAACGTGTTAAGATTTTTTAAGACACATGTGGTAAAAGTCGATGAAAGCATATGGACATGTAAACAACGTGATACAATCCTATTATTCATATTCCTCCCCTGGGCATGATACTGCATTTATTGGCCTGGTATTTTAACGAAACTCTTGATTTTAGAAAACAAAAGGTTGTGTATCCGGATAATATTGATTTATTGATTTATCTATTGTAACTAGTACTCCCAATTCCCATAATCCGACCAATTACACAGACAGCCAGTTAATAGATCAATTGTCATTCAAAGTAACCAAATTAAATAGAATGAAGATATAAATATTATATCAAACACGGTATTAGTATTAGCCATTTACTCGTATAAAGCGCCAATAAAGCACATTCATATAGATAATAAGACGATGCTAAATTCAAGACTTTATTTAGAAGGAATATACATGCAAAACATAGTTATTATTACTTTAAAACTGATGTGACTTATTGTAATCGTCTTTTACGTGCAACGTCGGGTGTCGCGTGTCTCAAAAGTCACTGACTCCGCACTAACAAAATTTGCAGGAAGATTGCATTGCCAAAAAAATGGATATGCGTCATGTACGGCCTATCCTTTTGTTGGCCAATTTCATAGCCACCGTGTTACCACTTTACTATGATCGCCGATATGGGCCGGCAGAAACGTATCATGACTTATTATAATTATGCCCGGCAGTTTTCAAAGAGAAAAAATATGTCCGGCAAAAAAGTATCATGACTCTATATAAATAAAAAAAAAAATGTCAGACAGAAAGGTACTTTGCCATATATCTACCAGGGGTTAGCACGGGAGTAATATCCCAGGAAACTAAACAGAAGACGAAACATAATCCCAAAATTAATGACTTTTACCTTTACGCGATCTGAGTAAATGACAGCGGACACCATTATAACACACATGTGGAACAAAACCTTAGCAATATAACTACAACCGTGTTTCAACTCCTTAGCATGCATCATTTACGCATTATTATCATCGGTAACATGTGCATATCATTGATATTCATTTTTGTTTGATGTACTTAATGTGTCTTTTACCTGTAGTATGATTTATGATTAATTAATCATGAAAATTAGATATAAGAAAATAACTCGTTTAGTTGCAGAAATGTTGATTTTTAATATGGTCTGCCCGAATATGTCATAAATTCAACAACTATAAGAGACTTCGAAATCAAATAAGGTAAACATTGGCAAAACCTAGAGTAAAAGTACATGTACAATCGTGTGGTTAGTTACAGACAGATATCTGGAAGTGACAAATCATATTATTTATATGTAACAATATAAGATATGGTTATAGAGGCAGTCAGTGCCTGCGTCCGTTACTTATCCTATTAAAATGACGAAAATAATCTGATAATCGTACATAATGTATCTAAATAAGCACATCCTAATGTCTCCGAGTAATAGTGATATGTTCACTTTGAAGGGCATTCATTCTGATAACTGATTATGAAGACAGAGGGAATCAGATTAAGTTACCGCTAGTGGATGATACTGAATTTTTTCTTAATGATTTGCATAAGCATTGTTTTAAAATCATTTTATTTCTCCAATTGCTTTGACAATGTGAGAAATATTCCCATTATTACAATGTTACCCTTAATACAATATGCAATTATACTTTATTATCTATACTTTAACCCTTAACCCGTACTGAGCTCTGAAAACTGTTTATTCTGGACTTATTTTTCTATGAGAAAACTGCCGGGCAGATTTATATGAAGTCATGATACATTTCTGCCGGACATATTTTCTCTGAGAAAACTGCCGGGCAGATTTGTATGAAGTCATGATACATTTCTGCCGGACATATTGTTCTCTGAGAAAACTGCCGGGCAGATTTATTTGAAGTCATGATACATTTCTGCAGGACATATTTGTATCTGAGCAAACTGCCGGGCAGATTTATGTGAAGTCATGATACGTTTCTGCCGGCCCATATCGGCCATCGTAATTTTCCCCTTGGGAGAGGGTTTTTTCACTATAGCTTCAAAAGAGTCAATACTCAGCATATTCTCACCTTCGTCATGTGTTTTAGAAATCTTTAGCATGATTTGTCAAAAGAAGCAACGTTTTAACGGCTTTTCAAACATGCTACACATTTTATATACACTAGAACGTAAAAGAAACTAAACCACCCTTAAATGTCCATAATGTATTTAACGGATTTTTGAATGAAATATAAAAAATATGACTGATAATTGGAGATGGCGTTTCTTTTGCTTGTCAGTATATCATGAAATGAGGTTTAATGACGTCATTTATGATATTATAGGATTTTGGATCTTTCCAGCTAGCGGCACCCAGAGCCTTCCCCTTTTTGACTTCCTGAACATTTGAAATCAAGATGATAATTACTGGACGCCGCCATCATAAACTCAAGAGTCACAGAAATCAAAAAGGGAAGGAGTCTGGTCGTCACCAGCTTGTAAATTAACAGACATGGCCTCATTTTACCACCATCTTGAAAGCTAAACTACCGGGGGATGACCTAAAAGCGCTATATATATATATATATATATCCACCTCACATCATTACATAAATTTGAACCCGGTGATATCTGTAGATAGATAATGCAATGTTTGTCAAGATAAGGGGAGACAGTATGTACTTAAAGTATAGATACACTGACTTCAATATGGTATAGTGTAGACTAAAGTCTGAACGCTGATCTCGATGTATGTACATTTTGATGTTTTAATGCCGGTGCACCAGGTATGTTTATTTTATGTCCTTTGTAAAGAGGACAAGAACTCGATACATCTGTGTATACATGTGTGTATATTTACCTGGTAGTAAGGTATATAGTCACTGTTAATATGTAATATTTGTACGGTTAAATTCAATTGGACGTTTGCAAATCTTATTTTTAGAAGTATAATGTCTTTCTTGTTTAATGAAGCATTTAAAATGCATATCATGTTCTGTAATACACCCCGGGTGTGCATTGTCTACATGATAGTGTGAGTCCATAGAGCATGCATTGTTTATATGTAATGCTCGGGACTGTCAACACGTACTCTACAGGGTCAAAATGTCGATTTGTGTAATAGTACTTTAACATTGAGCTCATGTGTGTACAGGTGATATATGTATTATAGTTATAGCCTCTGTTCGTACTGTAATGATCAGTTGCTTTTCGTGGTTGCATTTAACTGTGTGTTGGAGATAAATAGAAACCGAATACAGTCAAATACTGAATATTGGTAGTCATCGTTTAAACTGAACATCACTATAATGCGAAAACAATTAATAGCATACAAGTAGTATAGTTAACAATGCGCTTGGTTTCATCTTAATGAATTAATAAAAGTATACAAAACGAAAATATGTCAAATCTAAAATTTCTTATGCAGATGAATATTCACAAAAATCAGGAGAAACATGTAGCTGAAGGATGGTATGGTTGTGAAGGTTGAAATGGTTTGAGTCGATTCCAAGAAATGAAACTATAATATTTACATTTGCATGGCATTGTCACTATATAGCCTCTTTGAAAGCTGTGTCGTTGATGGGACTTTAATTACCATGCAGCACGAGACATACTTCTTAGCGTATTAATACAACACTGACCGGAACTACAATATCCAATGTAAATAAACATGGCTGCTGCTGAAATATCGCTATTGTGAGATTTGACAATGTCATTGTAAATTTATGTGCAAAATAAAAAATAAAATAAAAAATACTTTTATTACAACAAAAACAAGACCAAGGTCTGCAATATCGTACAAAATGCACATCGGTTGAAATCACCAATGCCGGCAATGGAAACAATTTTAACGCTCATGCAATTTATCAGAAATATCGTCTGTTACACTGCACTGATCAACAGGGGTTCGTTACAAATGTCTGAAATACACATATTCTATAGACCTACTGACACATATGTTACAGACCTACTGATATGAGTCACAGCACACATAAACATTTCAGACATTTGTAACGAACCTGTGCTCCGTCGCAAGATCACTCACTTCAAACGCTATCAGTTTCACGCGTCTCGCATCCACGGTTCCTCAGTTTCTGACGACATGTCAAATAACGAGGCTGTTATAGAATCTACCGACTGTTGTCAGGTTCCCATACAATCAACAAATAAATTCACGCCTGGATTCTTCACAAAATGAGCAAAGAGAAAAGTTCGAATTAACTTCCAAAAATAACTCCCTCGTGGAGGGCAAGGTCGGATTTACGGTGTTCACTGTATTTGTCCATGCGCGAAATTTGTTCCGGGGAAAAATCGAAACAATTTCAAATCTAACTTTCAGCTCAGAGTTCTATTGATAAACTTAAATCACCCTATAGACAAATCATACGCAATTGTATTGATACTGAATTGTGGAATAACATTGAAGTGTTTGTTAAAATTTCAAAGTACTACTTTGTTTGCCAATCAGCACGCGATAAACACGCTGTTCAAACTATTGAACGAAATTGTGTGGACTGTCGATAAGGCGGGCATTTTAAAATTTTAAATATAAATTATAAGTTAAAAAAGAACATAAGAGGCAGAGAAAACGTTAATATAAGTATTGAACTGTTTTTGTATGGTATTTATGATCTATTTGAATGACACAGCTTTGTAAGCAAACAAATCATAATGCGCTAGCCTTAAATTACCCTTAAAATGTGTTTATTCATTGCACAAGGCCTGGAGATATGTAACAAACAAATATCTAATAAACAATTCTGGTTGAAACAAAAAAGGTCAAATATGTCCCGCCGTTACAGTTCACGTGGGTAAGTCAGTCTACAATAAGTTATTGTCATGAACTACCTCTTAAATAATTCCTGAACAAAGTACTGTCTTATGGTTTACGTTAATGAGTCATGCGACAGGTACTGAATAAGGCGTATATACAGTTTCGGAGCAAGTAGTGCTTTGTAGCGCCATTTCAACATCCTATCTTGTAGTGCCCTTAATTCAGATATTTTGTCCACGTATCGCTTTTTGATGAATTAACTCGGATATGATTCAAGAACTCATGTGATGCAGTTAATCTGGAAATGATCTGGTTAATGTCTTGCAGTACTCTTAATTCAAATAAGATCTGAGTACTTTATTGCAGTACCCTTTATACAATTATATTATCGTGTTTAGTCTGCACTAAACCCAACAGCACGCACAGGTTATACTCTGCTATGTTTTTATGTCGATAAAATAACAAACACTTAAATTGTCGAAAATGAGCATTTATTCTAAATGCCAGAAATCGAACATATGTATACATCTTTGTGTTGATTTTTATAATAAGGTGTACGAAGAACCAAAAAATATGGGGCTCGCTTCAAAATAAACGCCATTTGTAATTAAACAAATGAAAAAATAAATTTAAAAAAAGATGTGCAACAATTACATTTTTACACATTAGTACATAAAGGTGGATAAGAATTAGGGGAGGTGGAGGGTAACCTATTTTTTAAGGAGATTTTTCAAAATGTCAGCATGGAAAAAATTCTGCACAGGTCACGTGGCTTAAGTACACCAAGACATCACGTGACTACTTCGATAGGGATGGACTAGTTTAAAAAACGGAAAGTTATCCTCCATCCGGAACCAACAAAATATAACAAATAAAAACATCATATACTAACCAGATAATATAAATTACTTTATGCATTGCATAAATACAAATATATTCAACCTTCATTTTGTACTGTCTCGCGGCACCCTTAATTGACAAATGATCTGATAATTGTCTTGCATTATCCTAATTTAAATACCGTTTAAGTACTGGATGAGGATGGTAACAAATTAGACTCGACCCAAGTACTGCCTAATAGTGCCATTGATTAAGCCATTAGGAAAGTACTGCCATGTCGTGCCCTTAAAATATTCATGCAAAACATGAAGTCATGAAGTATATACTCCCTACATGCATGTTAATCAAGAGCCAAATATTGTAATAGGGTGCAAGTAAATTCATGACTACGTTGTTTTATTGTATCGATGAATCAATCTCAAGACATGAACTTTCTGGATGTAACCTGAACAATTCTTGGGGTTGGTACTGAATTGTGGTGCCGATAAATCAGTATAGACATAAGTACTTTAGTTTTGACCATTACACATTTCCAGATAAGATCTAGCAAGAAACGAGTCATGTTTGTTGTAAACATTTAACATCACTGAAAGTACCAGTGTCTTCCCCGAGAGTCTACAGCAGCCTTTTTTCAGATCGTAGGGCAAGCAGTATTGCGTTTCCGTCACAGTACGTCATTATATGGATAATCCATTATCTTATTATGCGCTAAATTCAAAGTTTCGAATTCTTTCTTGCAGACTCATTGATATCCTGACTTCCACAATGACAACATCTGCTGGTACGTACCAACAGGGAAAAGTTTTACATATGAACTACCTGTCAAAATAGCACTGTGTCTCATATGTAATACTATTTGTACAATTCGCATTCATGTATATGTCTATACAATGGAATCCAGGTACTCATATCATGTTGGCTACTGCAACATTGGAACATTTTTAAAAGAATTTCTGATGGTGAAGTTGTAGGCGTTGCAGGTATTTCTAAGCTAGGGAATGTTTTTATACCGAAAAGAGCTTCGAGCACTAACACCAAAAAACGATATTTGGCGAGTTTTGCATGAAACGAGAACTACATATCGGATTCGAGATTCGTATAAATTGTTTACATATAAGACAAAAATCATGGTTAAGGCAAGTTCTTTATATAGTGTATGTTATCATGACGACGCCATCATTGAAGTCTTCATAATAAGTTTGCTTTGGTTAAAGTACGATAGAAGATGTATAAACCCATTCCAAATATTAGATAGCCATAATGTAAGCAACCCAACAACTACACAGCATTTCTTATATGTGAAAGGAGATAAAAAAAAAAATAGATATCTGTGATATTCGGAGCATCATTCAACATTGAATTAACTTAACTTAACCAATGTTTTATACATGCAGAATACAGATATGAGGTTGATGACTTAACAGTTACGGAAGAGATGCGCAGGGACTTTCGACAATTTGGATACATTATGGTCAGGTAAAATCAATTTGACTATTTGGCGCCGTTAGTTTTTTCTGCTTTGTTCAACAATAGACCCTTGTGTGTGGTGTTTCTAACACCTGGTATTTAACCCAATACAACAAGATAAAGGACTTTGTTTAAGACTTTTAATTAGTGGGAAATGCAACATACATAACAACATAAAAATACATTTTATTATCAGGAAAACTAAGTTTTTGATGATGGATGTACAGTTTAAAGAAAAAAATGTCACGATGAAGAAAAATATCAAGTTCCTAAAATTCCTTAAAATGGCGAGCGAAATTATACCTCCTACATTCCAAAGTCAAGAAAGGTATGATAATGACATAAAGGACTTAATAGACACATTTCCCCATATTCTGTTTACTACAGAACACTTCAGATATGGATTTTAAGTTTATTAAATATTTCCTACCAAGGATGAGTCATATATGGACAAAAATGGCTATATTTCGCAACAATAAAAAATGTCCTTCTGTTTGCCATGTTAATCGATGGTGTGTTCCTTTACACATTCCTTGTTATTATGTTACACTAACAACCACAAGTTGCGTGACAATAATGATGTGAAAAAGTCGTATTATACCACACGCTACAGAACAATCCAGCTTTATAATACCATTACGATAACTGTAAAGGACGTTCGTATCTTGATGCGTTTAAGTTAATCTTTCTTTTTGTTAGTGGCGTTATGATATACATCTGTGATACATATGGAATGTTTGTGTATATCTATTATTCGTAATACCTATAGATACTACAACAAAGGAATTACGACATGCAATAGTGCTGTCAATAACATTCTGTCGTATCTGCTTCAAAACAACTAAAAACAGGAACATGAAAATGCAATATGATAGCAGTGATATATCTGCTACAAATTAATTGTTTGGAGACGTATTGTCATCTTTCAAAATTTCATATACTTATATTAGGGATTGTTATACACGTTAAGAATGGAAATACCTGTTTGTATAAGTTGTTGCATTGTTACGATAATTTTGTAAAACTATATGTTATATCTTAAACAGCTTTGCTCGACATTATCAATATTCTGATTATCGTTTATCCTCTTTCCTATCCATCTATTTTTTAACGATGAGAGTAAACGGAAAGCTTGTAGACAGTTAACATAAAAAATCATCTGAAAGAGGTCGCAATTGTGTTTCGGTATGCCTATGACGTGTGTTTAAGTATACATATACACTGAGGCCGACCTCCATCGCAAGTTTCAACAACAGACTTTAAACATTTCTTGGTCCTATTCCAAATCAGTTAAGTTCCTGGTAATCACAAATATGGAAATAGTGACGCGAAATGTTTTTTAAACGCGATATTTAGTCCGCGGAGAAACATTCTTTAGGGCAAAACACATAAAATAACGGTACCTTATAAAATATAAACCTTTCGGTATGTTAAATCACATTATGTGTTAGTAGCAATCCAGCTAGCTGACCGAGAATATATAAAATATTAGCTGATGAATTATAATTCACACAGTTTTTAATAAATACAGTAAGTTTTGTCGAAGTAGGGTTGCTATTATTAATTCATGTAATTTTTGTATATCCCATTTTGAGATTAGAAACCGCACCTTCACGACAGAGATAATACCGACAATGACGCTTGTGTTAAATTCAGTACTAGCCATAATCTATATTCTATAACAAAGATAAAAAAAACAACACACAAGCGAGCAGTCGATGTTTTTGGATAAAAGGTTGATATTACCTGTTCAGAAAAACAAATTAAGTATATAAAGCTCAGAGGTAACGTTCGTTCTGTGTGTTTGGGTCTTTTCTTTGTATTTGTTTTTGTATAATCGTTGTGACATGCGTTAATTATAACCTATAATCTAACATATTCCATTACAATCGCATGCTATTGTTAAGGGATACACAACCCTGTCATGTTTTATACTAAGAAGAATTCCGGAAAAAAACAATATATCTCTTTTTGTCACACAAACACGCGAGTACTATCGTTTTGATGTATGTAAATGAAGCTCAGACGTAACGTCCATTCTGTGTGTTTGGGTCTTTTCTTTGTATTTGTTTTTGAATATACTTCTTCCACATGAGACCTCGCCTAGATCCAATAATCTTTGTGACATACGTTAATCATAACTTATAATCTCATATATTCCTTTACAATTGCATGTTATTGTTAAGGAATAAACAACCCTGTCATGTTTTATACTAAGAAGAATTCAGACAAAACATGATATATCTTTTTGTCACGCAAGCACGCAAGTATTATCGTTTTGATAATAAAGCACAGTATATAATGATTCCTCGTTATTATTCAGAATTTTTTAACTATATATATAAAATATTTTAGAAAAGAATGACCTGGAAGATACCGACTAATTCAAAATACAAAATATCAAAGTGTATACTGAACAGGAGCTATATGACTGTTTATTCTTTATCAATCAAATGGCTTTCAAATATATATTACATATATATATATTTATAGCTAAATGCGACGTACTTTGGACAATTTTCAATATCAATAGTTACATGTTTAGTTTAAAAGCCAACAGTTATTATGCTTTAGACTAAAGAATGACAAAATAAAAGAAAACTTATCTAATTATCTTCACGTTGTTCGTTGATCGCTTTAAAAATCTACCGAAAGATAAGTTTACATTGTAATTAAGGCCAACGCGGTTTGGGTTTGGCAAACGATCAAAAAAAAAATCCACTGTGCTTGGTTTCCTGTACTTTTCCATTGGGTATTTTTGTCCTTAAATTGCGTGACACTGATATAAAATTACACATAATTTAAACATGAAATAACATTATGAGAACTACATCCAAAGAACAGACATTGCTTCGTACTTATCAATTGTGTTGACAAAGACATTGATTGTTTAACGTTATTAATAATGTCAAATAACCTGTCATATCTGCCTCTATTGATCGACATTCCGCATACGACATAAGTTGGCACTAACAGATAAAAAAAATCATACCACAGTATTTTCTAGTTAATTAGTTTGGAATCATTATGTTCGTTTTCTATCCAATTATTTTATTTGAAGCATTAATCTTGGCTTAATCGTATTACTGTAAACGTTCAAATTTTAGCGATATATCTTATTGAGCGCCTTTCGCGCTCCAAATATCGCCCTAAATATGAAAGCGACGATTGAATTTCCCATATATTGTTTTCTTTTGCATTTTCTTTCAAAGTAGGTTAATTCATATCAATTCGCCAATCTGTTACAATTCGCCAATATGTTTAAATGTTACTGCGCTAAAATTTGAGAGCCCTAAAATTTGAGTGAGCGTAAATTTGGGTGCGCTCAAATAAACACGTTTACAGTATGACGTCATTACTTAACGTTAACATCATATATTTATTTTTGCAGATAGAGTATCGAGAATTTAGGATATTGAACAACTTCACCTTTTTTTGGCATTGCAACTGTCTGAGCATGACCAAATTGACATGACATTTACATTAGCAATGATGACCCACCTATCATGACGTCATCAATTTAACGTTGGCTTTTACTGGTCTTCCTTCGATGATGACTGTTCTGTACATTTAACAAACATTTTCCAATTTCTTTTTAGGTGATAATAAATCTAAAATGGTAAATGTAAGTAGCAAGTTGATTGCGTAATTTATGGAATTATCATTTCCAATAGGCCTTACAATTAACAATAAATGCCACATAAATCAATGAGGAAGATTTAACCAAGGAGTACGTGCTTTTAAGCTTCTATTATTAAGTAAACTCTAAAATGGCACTTCTTCACCGGTAAAGAGATAATACAGCTTCGTGTGTAAATAAATATTATTGATTCACCTGCAAAAATAAAATACTGCTTTACGGATTAAAAAGAAATTACCGCTTCACGTTTATAAGATAGTAATGCTTCACCTGTAGCAAGAAAGTACTGATTTACGTTAAAAACATGAGTACTGCTTCATGCATTAATTCAAAATATATCTCCACGTGTACAAAAATATAGTACTGATTCACATGTAAAAAAAAATAGTATTGATTCAAGTGTTAAAAATAGAGCTGATTCACGTGCCAAGAGATAGTACCACTTTAATTAAAAAGAAATATTACAGCTCCATGTTTACACCCAAAGCATTGTACTGCTTTATGTGTAAAACAAAAAGTTCTTTTTTACGCGTAAAGAGATATGACAGCTTCACGTGTAAACAAAAAGATAATACTGCTTTACATGTGAAAAGACAAAACACTGTAAAAAGATATTACTAATACTCGCGTACACACTTTAATCTGTATCATCTCTTACATGTGAAGCACTACTAGCCCTTTACAATTGAATCTGTAATATCTCTTTACGTGTAAAGCAGAACTATCTTTTTACACATGAATCTGTAATATATCTTAACATGTGAAGCTGTATTATATCTTTACACTTGGAGCTGGAATATCACGTTACATGTAAAGTTGTGATCATAGATAGTACTAATTCAGATGTAAAGAGATATTACAGTTTCACGTGTAAATGGATATTACAACATTACGTGTTAAAACAAAATACTCCTTCATATGTCAAAAGATAGTACTACTGCAGATGTTAATAGATACTACAGGTGTATAAAGATAGTACTTCTGAACGTGTACAGAGACATTACCGATTCACATGTTAAAATATAGTACTGCTTCACATTTTAAAAGATAAGAATAACCAATATATTCAATTCCATTATTGCAATCGAACCTTTGAACATAAGTAAACCGACTATATTAACGATTACATCCTCTAAAAATCAAAACGTTGATGAAGAAATCTAAATAAAGAAAACATGTTATAAACAACATGAGTCATAAGAATGAAAACTTATGTCTAATATATTCAAAAACATGTGGAAAACAGTGAAATAGGGAAATGAGTATATTGTAACCCTATATAAGGATATGCATTTAAAACTTCTGCCTACAACAAATCTTTTTTTATTTTAATTCTAATTTCATGTAAGCCGTGCCGGAACGAATTTTAGCTACAAGGTTAAGCCGACTTCGGGTATTGATAAGACACTAAAACGCCACGGGGATGTACATGTGTGTTGGAAAACAACTCATGCAAACGTCACAGTACTTATGGCTATATTTAGCAAGGTGAAGGATTGGTTATTTTCCATGACAAAAAAAAATGGAATATATGCAACACAGCTAACACGTGTTCGTAATAAATGTTTAACTTAAGAAACCCTTGACCAATCGCATGGTTATTCCTCGTTGCTATTAAGACAAACAGAAGTTAGAGATATGCATCCACTCTATGCTATAACGTCGACCACTGTAGTCATAGTCCATATCGTACTGTTTAGGTTAGCGCGTTTAAGTATATCTCATTGAGACTCCGAAGATCTTAAACATTTACAGTGTTTACCATTCAATAACTGTTTTTTTAGTTTACAGATCCGATCATGAGCTATATAGTTGTTAAAATGTCTAGTTCTACAACAAGTTTTATGAAATAGGCAGTTTTCGCTATTTTTATTCCATGGCTCTTCTGAATTTTTGAGTTTTCCCGTGATCATCAGACGCTGATACATAAGTCAATTCTTGTAATGGATATATTACAATGGAATTTTATATCGACAAGTTTATCAACCGGCGAACATACTATCATGTGTATGTCGATATAAGCTCAATCAGTTAAACGTAAGTATGAATCACTATTATAAATGTGAATCTGCTCCGTAATTAAGCAAACTACAGGCTGTAATATAAACATTTCTTAAACGAGATTGAAACGCTAAATACTATGTAAATGTTAACCAGTTAAAAGGCAGCTATGATATTGATGTCATTTCCGGATTGATCACGTGATAGTAGAGGTGATGTAATCAAATAATAGAATGTTTTCGAACGACGGTGATTTTATGAAGATAGCTATCTCTTTGCAAAATTCTATGAATTAATAATCAATCTTAGTTATACATTAGTTTACAATCATGGTTAATTACTCTGCGTAGAAGCTCCGTAGAAAGAACGATATGTATAGATATATATATAGCCTCTAGGAAATCATAAAATGTTGAATATGATGTGTTCGTTAATTTGATATTTACATGCTGTAATCGAGATTTCAGTATAATCAAACATCACCGAAATTGACCGACACAGTTCTCTAAAGAATGAATCTAGACGATGCATGTATTGCTTTAAAACGACGATAAACTTATGAAACGCAACGTTGTTAACTGAGACTTGTACTTACAGTTGCGGGAGGCCATTTTTACTAGAACTGCGCATGTATGAACAAATGTATCCGGTTAAAAGGTCGTATCTTATAATAACAAGGATCCTCCGAAATCATGAAAATTTTCCGAAATCGTCATTTATTAATAATAAAATGGTATCATAATGGATATGAGTTGTTTTGTTATTTCAATGTCCAAATGTCGTTTTTCCTGACTGTTTTTATTCAAATTACTACATGTAAAGAACATATATCAACGACATTCAAATTACATATTAGCATTGGTGTTTTTGTGCAATGTTATTCAAATATAAGGAAGGTACGTGAAGCTTAACGTATTCCTTATTCCACAATAAGGACAACAAAACTCCAACAAAATCTAATCTTAATCTTATTCTTATGAGCTCCAAATAAAGGTGAAATTCTGTATCGCCTATTTGAAATAAAGTATGTTTTTTGATATTTTAGTAGAAACATAGATCACATATGTACAATTAGAATAAAATATAATTAGTTTGCAACCTTTACACATAAGGTACAGATACTCAAACATTAAATTACACACAAGAAGGATTATACAGCATAGGAGCAATTTAAACGCTATTATCTCATTTGTGCATATACTTTGTACATACTTAAATACATTCAAATGTTTCTTATAAGCAGCGAAGGTTGAACTGAATATTACCTTTGTCGTAAATCATATTCTCATTGGAAATACCGTCCTGGTAAAATAAAAATAATTATTGCAGGTTCATCGTAACACATTGCTGTATAGTTGTATCACTACTCTTAACTATCAATCAATTAAAGGTCCGATGTGCATGTGTAGAATAGTGAACTGTGGTAGTAATATTAACAAATACAGCTGTACATAAAGTAAGAATTATACCGGCAGTATATGATACACATGTACTGAGTCTGTATCAACACTTTGATATGAAGTGATGCTAAGTCTGAGGAACTTTACAAAGTGACTATATACATACACGTTAGTATACATACATAACTATACAAATATAAGTTAACATAATCACACTGGGGCGAATTGGCTTAACACCTCTGAATATATATGTACACTTATATGCTGATTTTTGATCTTGTTACTTCAGAAACATAAAAAAAACACTTTTTGAATTCATCATCATCATCATCATCATCATCATCATCATCATCATCATCATCATCATCATCATCATCATCATCATCTCATCAATTAACTTATTAATATAAGTTTTGATTGATACCATTTTTTATAGAAAAACCTCCTGCTATCTGAATTTCATTGTATAATACCAAATCGGGACTTTAGTTTTCACTATGATTAAAGGGCATCACTGCAAAAAATAGTTTAAGACTTGCTCACACAAAGATGAAACCACTCGATATCACAATTTGCTAAAAGCACTGTATCACTCTATAATTTTAATATAACTTTACATTTCCCAGTACTTAGAAATGAGATGTTGTTAGTTTGCATTAATCCTATAGCAATATCGAACACAGCTAGCTTACCTAAATATTAAGTCTGCACAACTATGTATACATCAACCAGCCTCAGAAACAACACACTTTACGTAGATAAATGAAACATACATGACATAATATACACATGGAAAGTTCAAGCTCCGTTATCTATTTTGCTTATATATACATTCATAATCAATTAAAAGATGTTGCATTAGCAGCAAATAAACTGCTGTACTTTTTATTTTATACATCAGATTCTTAAAGGGACATCACGGCGAAGCATTTGTTTTCATCTTTTTTTTTTCAAATACTGCATTAATAAATCAAGTGAGTCTCCTTATGCAAAATAACGGTCGGATTTGGATGATATATATTAATAAAAATGAATAATTTTAAGATAAATATGGGAATTTTTACCTGTCTGACAAACGTTTTGTTAAAGGTTTTCCTTTTATTTGCGCATGCGCATAGCACTCCATTTCATTGTAAACAAAATAACTGGCCGTGGGAAGTGAGCGAGAGAAAATCGTTACCGCGTCAGCTACTAAGCGAAAAGTTGCCAAATAGTCAAAAGATAGCGCAAGGATTACGTTACCGAAGCATTATTGCAGGTGGGAAGTATTCAAAGGGGAAAATAACTGCCCTAACAGTTAGTATGGTACATGTATTCTTCCGGATAGCCGGTATAAAGCTGAAATGGAATCGACAGAAATGCTGTTTATGTTATGAATAAATATATCTTAAAATATCAACCTCACTAGTATCTTTGTTTAAGTTGGAACACATATGAACTTATTTTGTTATATTAATGGACATGTATCGGAGAGAGTTTACTTTGCATTTCTATATACAGTAGTTTATGCGAGTGGAAGGGAAAAGTGACTGGTTAGTTTGATTTTGCTATGGGGGTCTTCCTCGCTGTCGGTACTTGGGGTCAAATGAGATACGTGCCCTATTAGATATACATAATTTACCATAATGCCGGGTTCAGTAAAATGGTATGATTTAATTATAAAACAGGTTTTTTTCGCATGAAAGATTTAAATATATCAAAATGACGGTTAACGATGAATGACTGAGGAATGAGATCCTACAGTGTACATGTAGTAAATAGGATCGCATAACAAAAATACTTTTTTAATCGCAATGTTTCAACAGTTTTTGTTTTTACATGATGTTGACTTAGACTGTATGATCATGCTACAATTTTTGTCTATGCATAGTTAATTTTCGACTTCAGATAGAATCGGAATACACATTGAAAACGGAAAAAAAAAATCATTTGTTTACGTTATAAAAATGAGGCGTGCTACCGATAACTACAGCTTCTGTTTTGGACAAAAGGAGCTGACGAAAGATAGTTATCGCAACATAAAAAATGGTCCATTAACAACTGGGCATTTGGAATTTCTGAACGGACTATGAATATGGGGATAGCAAGGTAACATAAGTGAAAGTGCATACAACACATACATTCATAAAACATATATGGCTCTTCACGTGATGTCCCTTTAATGAAAATACATATCCTGGTAATATAAAAACCATATGCATACGTTATGAAAATAAACAATTCAGGTTCATCATGAAACATTTCTGAAGTGTTATATCAATATCCCTTACTGTCAATCAATTAAAAAGCAGTTGTGTCTATGTATAAAAGGTACATTAAAATAAATAGTAGTATATCTTATGATGTAAGAATTATACCAGAAAGATGCGTGTTGTATCTTTATCAGCACTTTCCTATGTACATGGAGTGATACTAAGGTAAAGGAAATTCACAACGTAAGTACATACATAAGCATACACACATAGCTTGTTGTAATCATATCGCACTAGGACGAATAAATGATGAGTTAAGTTTAAGTTAGTTATAATAAATCAGAGACTATAAAACACTGTTTTTATAAAACCTTTCTAAGAAAAATAAAACATATATAAAAATAATTGCCCATTTGAACGATATAAACTAAATTTCTACTTTGTTTTTCCACTGCTGGACAGGAGGAGGGTACACCAATATTGTATACTTAGTATTGCATTTGAATTTCACAAACATAGGGAATATTTCTTGTACTAGTAAAACTAAATTAACAATTAGAAACAAATGCACTTTGATATAAAAAAAAATAAAAAAAATAAAAAAATCTTCTAGTAATGAGACTGTATTTTTGCTATTCGATCTTACTTGACACTAACTGTTTTAAAATGCAGTAGCCTCCCTTTAAACATGAATTGTAAATTAATATGTATCTACGAATAGCTTGGACACAATGTAAGCTAATATATCATCAAGTGAATGTTCAGATACTTTATCATATTTGTTATGACGTACGAATCTACTTAGATACGTTAAACGGAGAAATACGATCTCCAAGCTCCTACAAAATATTCTGTCACATATGCAGGGTTGTGATATGACCTGCACAGCAAATCATACTGTAATTAATCAAAGTCGAAAAGGAACAATGCAATTCAGACTGATTTCAACCTGTGTGTTTTCGTTACACTGCATACTGTTTTTATTCAGGCACGATAATGGAAAGAAATCAATGAAAACTGATAATTATACATTAAACCATAAATAAATCATTCTTCCTGAATGAGACGAAATGAAGATTAATACATGGTTGGTATGATGCAGTTAACGATTTTTTTTGTTTTTTTGTTTTTTGTTTTTGTTTTGTTTTTTGTTTGTTCTTTTTATTTCTATCGTTATTTTTTCATATATTTGCATGAATTCTGTTGTATTCTGAATTCTATTATATAAACAATATTGCTAAAAGTTTGTATTTTTTAAGGAAAAACATGTAATTTCCGATACACCTGAGTATGTTAAGAAAAGTTATTAGATATACGATACTGTATATTATTAATTGTGTAATGGTTGTAAAAATCTTTTAAAAATGTAATAATAACAAGAAAATAACCGAAATCAAAATCAATCTATATGAAATCACATTTCAGGAACACACTTTATTATCATAACAGCCATCGATAATAGATTGAAACTATTGTGTAAATTTTCAGAAACTTTTTCGATTCTGATGACTTGAGGCAAGTGAAACAGGTTATTGAAGACAATGACGAAATCGTTAAGAGAGCGTTTGGGGTACGTTTTATGTCCAACATATCACACGTGTTAAGTTTCAATTTAGAAATATAATATAATGTTGTTTATAACGAAATTGTGATATTTAATCACAGAAGAAAAGTTAAAGGATTATATCAAAATGTTAAAATGTATTTTATGGAAATTTCAATGTATAACTAGTATAGTTGTCTATTGTTCCTGGCTTCACGGTTTGGGGATATCACTCCAGAGACTCCTTGTATTATCCTACACATAACTAGGAACCCGTATTAACTTTAGGAAAGAGTTCGGCATCACATTCCATTACGCTGAAACTATCATACTGCTTAAATAAATATTTCTGTGAAATCAAAAACTATAAAGTGTTTGATTTATTCCATTACATTTTTGATAGTTCATTAAGGCGTGAAATTAATGCATATAATTTCAACTGTTTATCTCATTATATGGTTCATTGAATAAATACCTGACCAAATGTTAAGCGCTTCGTTGGCTTTTAAGTAAGGGCAATTCAGTTTTGAAATTAAGGGATGCCAATATTTTAAAGCCTTGTCCCATTTACTTCTTGAAATGACCGAATCTTAGACCGGGCCAGATCTCCTAAGATAGACAAGAAACAGTAACATGTATATTTTTGATTTTGAAAGTAACATTTCATTAAATCAGGTTTCTGACGGTGCTGGCCGGGAAAGCAAAATGTGCCTTTGGAATCATCCGGGAAATGACGTCACAGGGATGGTGTCCAGATGTGAGAAAACTGTCAATACGTGTGAAGGGGTGCTTTTCTTCTTTACTTTACAACCTTATTGCTTCATTATTCACTTATCAGCTTTTACAAGGTCATAGTTCAAAACGTGATTAATTATTGAAGCAAATAATCTGCATGGAAAACTGACTTAAACACCAAAGACCTTACTTACAACAAATACAATTATTGCACGTACTTATCTATCTGTAGATACTTTATGTAAAAATAATATTGTACCTTAAAACAGTAAGACGTTAAGAATAAACGTTCGATACTTAACGCATATGCATTCTGTATCTTGGTTACAGTACAGTGACCTTTGTTACATTACAATCGATATATGTCAATATAGATGCGTCTATTTCAATCTTGTTCCTAGCTATTGGGCGGGGAAGTCTATCACTACCACACCAAGCTGATGATGAAAAATCCTCGTACCGGCGGTAGTCATCTTTGGCACCAGGACTACGGGTAAGATATAGAAAATAAGTTTGTTTACAGTTTCGTTCCCATTGTCCTTTTATGCACATGTTCCAATTGTACTTTTATACATAAACACCAAAAACGGCATTTTCGAATGCGTTTGAAAAATGTTGGTAGTCGAGGTAATTATGACTGGTTGATATTTAGAAAACCAAACAAAACCAAACATCTATCAAAAACAAATATTACTAGCATTTTGACACACAAAGTTCGGCAATCCTTCCATTTGGCTAGGCATACGCATTTAAACGAAGCTGCTATTATGATAATTTGCAAAAACATATAGACATATTGAAAATACATCAGACCAGAGAAAAAAATATAAAGCAATGTTTGATGTACTTCCAAGGTACTGGTACAAGAACGGGTGTCTCTTTCCTGACATGATGACTGTATTTATTGCCATTGATAAATGTGTGAAGGAGAACGGATGCCTCCAGGTAATATCACTGATGATCGATTCCAAAGATATTATATAGGTAAAATAACGATATATCTATACTAAACCAAACTTCTGATTGAAATTTTGTTCAATAACATTCAAAACTCGCTTACAAGGATACGGATAATATAGAGTAATGAAGCTACATACCTGGTCTAACAAACAATTACCATGTGAAGTAACATTACTTAATGAGTAAATAGAAAATGTGTTTTATAACAGGAATTAATTTAGGATGGCCGTTCTGAGAACGGTTTGCACCTTTTATTTCTTAAAGCAAAAATGGTGATATTCTGGAGTGTTGACGCTAATTTCTTCTTTTGAATAATTTTCTCCTTATCATATGAATAATTCTGTTTGTTACGCCGAATAAACAATAACAAATATGCAGCGATGAAATGTTACATACATATATATGAACTACCATGCCTTAATGGCATCAGGTACCGTATGACAAGATTGTGAAAATTACATAGTAATTTTGGGAAATGCTTGCTCCTTTTACAGATACTACGAGGATCACACAAGTGTGGACGAATAAACCACGTAATGGTGGCGGGTCAAACTGGTGCTGATGTTGAACGAGTCGAAGCCATACAAAATTCCGGACAGTGTCCGCTGGAGAAAGTCGAAATGGAACCTGGTAATGATGTGTAAAATAATATTTGATTTTACAAATATTGACATCTTTCTTTACCGTTGGGACAGACGTGTTTGATCAGTTATGCCTGCATGTCGTTAAATCATAATTCAATGACCACCAAGTCACTTTTATTCGAAACTTCGTTTTGGCAATAATCAACTTTTCTTTTTTAACTTGACCATCACTTAACATATCCTTATATATCAATATCTGAGATAAACATGATTATAATATAGTTTGGTTCATGTTTGACCAGTAACTACATTCAGTTCATGTGCATTTTAAGATGGAATCATTAAATTATGTGTCCATGGTCAATCGAGTGCAGTGATGTCAGACCATCAAAAATAGCAATACTCCGATATCAGGCTGTTTCAATCACAGAGGCATGGCACATAGCCCCAACCCCATTTTCCGTATATATGTATATCATTTACCTATATTATATTATTCAGTAACAAAGACATGACACAAAGCCTAAACCCCATGGTCGGTATATATGTGTATTCTTTACCGAAACATGATTGAGATGTATACGGACTGTGGGGTTATGGGCTATGTGACACGCCCCTGTGCATTTTATTAAAATATGTATCACACCACACCTGCTAAACCCGACGACATACATACACATGCTCGTCTATACGATTATACGTCTCTCTCACATACGTAGCACATGTGCCATGCGTTGCCTGTGGCAAAGAAAAGGTATTCGTCATTCCATATTCGTTATCTGAATAACAAATAACTTCTGGTAGTAGAATGTTAAGTCATTAGTTATAAGTTATTCTCGTTATTTCGATTTATGCATAGCGAATATCTCTCCAAATTTATACTGGTTATTCATCTTAAGTGTTGCGTTGATTTTTATTGCCAAAGTGAATTTTTCTGTAGTATATTCACGATCTTTCTTTCTCGTCTTTATATGACCTTAAACGTTACGAAGACGTTAAACTCCAAGCAAACCAGTTTTATAAACATTTGTTTAAAATCTTGATATCCCACCATTTGTTTTGCTCCTACAACAGGGCTCAATATGACTCTGTCATAAAACATCTTACCTTGTTTATTACATCTGCATTACGCAAGTAGCAGTGGTATCTATTGATGCGTGTGTCTACGAAAAGAAGTCCAGATTTCTTAATTGTTCTACATCATATCATTTAAAAACATAAGAAAAAAACAAAACAAAAAAATATACGAAACAGGCAACATTGATTAATATAGGAAATTGTTTATGTCTATATATGTATTTGATATGTTTAAGGGGATGCGCTGTTTTTCCATTGCAATTTGCTGCACACCAGTACCGGGAACGACAGTGACCTGAGACGTTGGGCCTTCTTGTGCTCCTATAACAAGGCTTCAAATGACCCTGTCATCAAACATCATCACCCGCAGTATACTAGAATTAAAAAGGTAACTGCAGATGCAATGCTGTTATTTTTGTTTGTATTTTTGCTTGTTTATATGTCTTCAACTGAGGGTTTGGCACATGACTATATAACTCCAGCTGATGTAACGACATATGAACATATTACCTAAAATAGTACGGATACATCATCAGAGATATTAGTTCCAACAAAACGTTTAAACAAACAAACGCGAAAACATAACAACGGCTTCAGGAACAAACCTGTGACCGATAATTTATATCTTTGTAGAAATCATTCAATTTAGTTTCTTTAAACATCCGCACACGGTTGTGTAGATACAGACGATTCAAAGTAGAAATTCTACAATAAATCAATTGATCAGAGTTTTTCAGACACTTTTGCACCGTAGAAATAGGCTGGTATTAGTTATTTTCATTTATGATTGATCTATTTATATATTATTTTTTAATAAATCCTCTGAACTTTCATACAGACGTTAGCAATGTAGATACATTTATTTATGAAATCGGTTGAATAATTGGTCATCTACAATTATAGGAGAGAACAGCATAATTCCAATCCTGTCCAGATGTATTTCATCTATCGATAGTTTGTGATAATGTTTTCGTTTCTATTTTAAATATTCGTTATGTATCTACCTAAAACCAAATAGTATCAGGACACTACGTTTTGATAATAGCATATTTTAAAACTATATCTGCCGTTTGAATGTCGGAGATAGCAATGTATAACACGAGTATGCTGTCCTATTTATCCACTCAATAGATAAGTACCATGATTCACTGACAAGCTACACTTAGGCGGATTAATATCCGTACGTATTGCCCATAATGGCCCATCATCTTTACGCAGCTGGCGTCTTGTCTGACCATTTAACTCACATGATAATCGCCTACCAAGAAATAGGTCAAATTCATTTTAGCTTATATAACCTTCATCAAAACATGGAACTTTCCCTTCACAGTCATACAGTTTATAAACATGAATACAAAATTAGTACAAAAGCGTCAGCACAGTGCGACACTCAAAATCGATTCACATTCAGGACCATATAAAAGGAAAATATAATGAAGTCCCAGAATAAAACATAATAGTTTGGCGTTCGCAGTCAACTTTCTTATTAACAAGCTTCAGACATAGGGTCATACTATTTAGTTTGTTCAAGTAAAGGCAAACGGGATGCTAAAAACATCTTCTTTAGAACCACAAGAACCGAAATGCATCGTCTTCACTTAATTTCAAAGTCACAGAGTGGTTATATGTGTTAATATCCTTATCAAAATTCTTTCGTATTATAAATATAATATATAAACTTTTCTTATTTTACAACATTTATGAAACAAGTTAATTCAATTTTTATAAATCCCTCTTATCGGGCTGGATGTTTGGGGGGGGGGGGGGGGTCTTAATGTGGGAGGAAATCTGAGTACCCGGAGAACATCCGCCTCTTTTTTACGTAGCTGGCTTGTATTTTGTAAGGACTATGAGATGTGCTCATACGCTCATTTGATTCATATGTCTTGAAAACATACAAACATGTGCAAACGGTAACAAGAATCATTATATTTAAAACATTTAGATTTAAGTGAAAGGGTTGTCCAATTTTAATACTATTAAAATGAATGAACAATGCAATATATCTGCTATGTCATTTCATAAGCCAAGATATTTTTAAACGTTTTCTTCGGGTTGGTAAGTATGGATAGTGAAAATTTTCTTGTTACACCACCGACAAATATTTCTATGTAACGTTTCGATAACTAGTGTGTTATGTACACTGTCACCTTCATCAGACAAATGACCAGAGAAGCGTATGTACACATCGGTGTAAAATGTGTACGAGTTGTCCACAAAAAAGATGTCGATTCGGCTACGCTGTAGGCGAATGTATATTTTATTGTTATAAATATACCGCAATGACTCGATTCAGATACGCTTTGTTCATTACTTGTTCATATATGTGCGACAGTCTTTGAGCCCCCTCATCTGGATTTAGAACTGGCCCGCTGCGACGTATCCAAACGGCTTCCTTCATCTGTCGCTTGTACAGAGTGATCTCTCTGTCCAATAATTTGGAGCTATCCCAGTCAATCACATGATTTGTATGTGTGGCATGGTCTGTGATTGCCGATTTATTTATCTGGGTCTCCGACTGCTTCCTTTCTGATCGGGTGCATTTCTTTCCTCCTTGAATTTCCGTAATTTTCCGGTGTTCACCAAGGCGGACCCCAAATCGCCTTCAAGTCTCTCTAATATACGATGCGTCGCAGACATGTTTTATCATTTCAGAAATATATATAATTGAATGAATTTTATCGGACCCTTATTTTCTAAAAGAAAATTGATGCTGTTGTATAATTTCATTCCATTATTGATCATTATTGTATTGTTTGTAGCAGAGCTGTTTAGCTATTTTCCTTACCTGATTCTTGCATTGTGTTATCCATGTGCTATCATGATTTTAATAATATTGTGAAAATATTTACCTTAATCTGCGACTCTAACAGAATGAATTATTTTTTGAAATTTTATAAGTCATATTTCAACATAGGTTTATAATATGGTATTGACACATATAAACATCATGGTCTTTTGATTTTAGCAATGATAAATGTACAGTGTATGTATATATGCTATAAACGTAAGTTTGAGGCATACATCTAGACACTAAGGGTGAATATTTTTTCGCTGTTAAGCTTGATAATGCTCTTGCAACAGGAAAAGGACAAATACGTGCTTTCCACCTGGGATCGAACTAGCGTCGACAAGCTTCCCAGTTCGCCTGTCTAATCTATTAAAATAACAAGTCGTCCAAACTTTAAAAAAAATCCATCCATTTTAACAACGTTTCATGAGTATTTACATCAAAATAAGCTTAACACTGGTTTCTTCAGAAACATGTTAAAAAACTGTATATGTACTCAATTCGTTTGAATTACAGGTATCGAATTCTGCCATACGAGAATGTACCAACTTCACCGACATGACAGGAAAAGATTTCATGGATCCAACAAAGGACGCCACTATTCGAGTGGAGAAGTCAACCAACAATCAACAAATAAAATGAATTGACAAATCGATCGAAAATGCTTAAGTCCCTTAAATAGCTTAGAACGACGACATTCCATCTGAAATACATGTTGTTCAGACTCACATTTCAGAAATAAATTAAAATTGTTCGTTGCAAACGCGATGCAATCAGATGGAAATTTCACAACAAAACAATAAACATGTGCATCCATAAACAGAAAGCTGATACTATTAGTAATAAAGAACTGATTCATGTCATTATCTGTGTTTTGATATGCACATATCGGTGACGTAAACAGTAACATGTGGCTCAGTAATTGATACCTATTGCATGAACTAAAGTCAATTATCTTTATTTTATTGCCTCGCATCAACCCTTTGGATGCATGTAGCCGCAGGTTGATTAACCTTTTGGTATTGCAAGTTGCATGTCCGACAACAAGAGCAGAATATTGTGATTATGATACGTATCCAAATCTCTTTTTAGAAAAAACAAAATGTTTTTTAAGGTTGGATTAATTTTAAAACTAGAAATTTCCTGCTGACAAACATAAAAACGTGGGTGTTTTAAATTCGTGTAAGAAGACCTGGAAAACAATAATGACCTATTTTGAGTGTGTGACTAATCAATATTTACCGATCACTAATTGGATTTGTGTTGTCCCCCTCCACTATGAAATGTTTCGTTATTATCCAGCCCATTATTGGTTTTCCTTTTTTCTTAATCCTAAATCATTTTTCTGTCATCATACAGACTTCACACAACCTACAAGCGCTTGTGACAATTAGAATGATCTCATGGGAAATTCTCCAAGCCAAAAAGGCAGTAGGGAGAAGCTGATATGTCTTCTTAGTAAGTGTCCCTTCGCGGCAAAGTAATGTTAATGATTGTTCCTTTACAATTGAAATATGACGGCAACGGATTTTACCATTATCAATCTGTCATCTATTGTTACACTAGATAAGCTATAACAATAGCTATAAAAGGAGTATAATAACATGATTATCTTTATCACAAATAAATTCGCGTGTTTTATCATAGATTTATCAATAGATAACAACAGAAAAAAGTAGAAATCTGTCCAGTTCTCTTTCTCTTTCTGTCTAAAATTGACAGGTTTCAAGGTATTTGTCTTGAGCAACATAACCGACATGTTTTATATGTCAAAACACATTGTTTTTGATGCTATATTTAGAACGGCTTATATAGGGATTATTTCAGGGCAGTGAATTTATGCACATTCACCTTTCGGATGTCCTTACGACTGGCAACAGGGTTTTTTAGTATGGCTGTTATTATTTCTGAAAAGGAAACCAGTTAGGTGAGATCAGTCAGGAGAAGTTACTCATTTGTGATAATGAAAATCATCGACTGTAATTGCAAATAAGAAACACTAAAGGAGAATTATTTGGCGTTTTGTCGCCCGGCCAGGGGGACGGGAATCCTTAATAAAGATGTAATGAAAAATCATTAGTTGTTCCAAGAATTGGTCTGTTTCAGTGTCCGTCTTTGCTCTCCGTGCTAGGTCTGCCTCAAAATTAAAAAAAAGTCTAATTTTTATTTTTCATATGAAGCTAAATTTACTGATAAGATTATCATGAACCGGTATCAAGACATAGTTATAAGTCCTCAATTTATATTCAGGTGTATCGACGATAAGCTGTCTTTAAATAATAATAATAATAATAATAATTCGAGGTTCTTATATACCGCTTTATCACAAGCTAGTTCGTAGTTCGTCTCAAAGCGATTCACAAATTATTATCTGTGGCTAAAGGGCCTTTGCAACCAGCCTTTATCTGTCTCAACTCCCTGGGGAGCATACAGCCGGTACTGCCATTTCGGCGCTCACAGCTAGCATTCTACAATTCTAGCACTGCCCAACCACGTACTCATTTGCAGCTCAACCACGTACTCATTTGCAGCTGAGTAGACTCGAACAAACGGAGTAAAGTTTCTTGCTCAACGATACAACAATATATAACAATAACTCTATCTACCACGTCGATCGTATACACAATGTACCCACCACAGCCTGAAATGAATTAGAACTAATATACGTATATCCATTATTTCCTTTTCAATATCGTTTGTCCGTCCGTGTTTCGTCGTCAATATTGTTCTGACGTTATTGAATACAATTAGTCCTTTGATAAAACAAGCTTCCGTGTTAATGTTCATGATTTGTTCCTTGTGTCATTATTGGAACACTGCTGTCAAGTAGCAAATACAAATAAATCAATCATCGACAGGAGAGGGTTTTATAGGCTTTGCCTGTTGCTCATTTCCGTTTGTATGTAAAACCTAATACAATACAATATTCTGAAACGAAAGGAAAAAACTCGATTATGGGTTGACATCGATCTTTAATTATTTCACAGAATTCGTAGATGATACGTCTTTCAGTATTTCCAACAAATTGGTATTAATCTAGAAACATGACAGTTGACCTCGGCCCCGATTGGTAAGGCACCAGCAATAGTAACAGGTAAACTATTTCCTGAGTGTATTATTAAAAATACCTTTATGTGAAAATATTTTGATATGATTTGCATGATGTAGTTAGATAGAATTGATGAACAAACATATTGAAAAATAAACAGCAAATGTTGACCTCGGCTCCAAAAGCTAATGCACCAGCAATAGTAATATGTAAGCCATTTCCTGACTTTATTGTTAAAACTACCTTTATGGATAAAATGATTGGATTTACATCATATAGTTAAACAAAAATGGTTGCACACAAATATGGCAAAAACATACACTACTTTTTCAGACAATGAAAATAGCTTCTGGATACCGTAAACAAATAGACGTTCTTGAAATATATCGATTGGAGCAATGTATCCTTAGCATGGATACGGTAATGAGCAGTAGATGGGCACAACAATAGATAGCATGCCGTTTGCTACCAGATACAAAGTCTGGCATCAGATTTCATAGGACATTTCCAACCCCTTCAAGTCCCACTGGGCACATTTATTACCGATGTTATTGCAAACGGTATTGTCGTTAACCTAACAAGTGGTGTTATAGCTTAAAATCTACGTGGATTTTGGCTATTGTTTACTTATCTTCGATGTTATCAACGACCATTTCTAACTAGTGATATTAGCGGTTTTTTAAAGACTTTTTGTGTGCAAAAAGGCTTGCCAAGATCATGACCAATATTTAAATACAACGTTTACATGGAGGTCATCTCAAGGTTAGAGAGTGCATTCTTATAATTATTGAGAACATAGTGTTGCCTTTACAAATAGTATCCAGCAAGAAGAAGATTAGGCAACTACTATAGAAACAATATGGTATGTTCAATTTGCTAAGTACATCTTAAATATTAGGAAACACAGCCAAATGATATACTACAGCTTCAACACAGAGGGACTAATTATATATCACAGTGTCAACACAGAAAGGCAAATTATATACATGTACCGTAGCATCAACACATTGACAAATAAGCGACAATTGGCCAAGTGGACTCACAAACAGTAATGATTGCCTTCCAAATGAATATATGTTAAAACTATATTGACCGTGCTTTTTATTGCGTTGTCAATAGTAGAGGAGAACTTACTCTGCTGATAAATAAGACACTTTAAATTCTACCACGGGGGCGTCAATTATTTCATTTCAAAATATTGTATTAAGTCAATCAGATTTAAGTGGAATTTGGCATCAGGCAAAGCCTATACAAGCCCTCTCCCTGGAGGTACATTTCAAACAATAGCAAGTAATGAACTTTGAATATTTAAACACATGGTTAGTAACATAAGAATTATATCAGTATCAATGACGATAGGAGACAATCATTCATACACGCATGCATATATACATACAAGCACAAACATGCATACATACATACGTACAAACATGCATGCATGACTACCTAGACACATGCATACATGTTCATATACCTACATACATATATACATACATACACACATACATACATAGCATTCAAAATCTGTTGGTTGATTCTATATTTCTCTGAACACAAACACGAATAGCAGAATAAAGATCTTCACTAAGGAAACTACTTCATTAAGTCAGTATATTAACATTAAACATAAGATGTCCATAAAGGTTTAGGTCCAAATTTAAGTGTAAATTAAACATAAGATGTCAAGCTGTAAATGAGACAGAGATATTATCATTATTGAGTCATGTTTCCAGGGCAATGTAAGTAGAAGTGACAAACATCTTCAGTATTATGACCACATGCACAAGAGGAATACTCATTAAAATGGTCTATAAAGAGATCAGAGTTTAACTGACTTGCGTGATTTCGAAGTTGACAGAATAGTATGTAAAAATATCTAGTCCCTTCATGTTTTGGGGTATGGCATGATGAACAAGTTGTTTTTGGAGTTCACTTATAGATCTCAAATTATATCAATTACATCCAGGTCTATTCCACCAAGACATTATGCTATGAAAGAAATTGTTAAAATATTTATTATATCTACAAATTGGTGGTTCAAATGTACGTTGATGTCGGACATGATGAGTCATAGCTTCATTGCTGACTATGTAAGGTTCAACAGTTTCAAAAAGATAGTTCGGACTAACATGGCTAATTATATTAAAAAACACTTTATGCTGCTGATCATTTCGACGTTTCTTAAGAGTGACTCATTCAATTTCATAATGGATGATTTCATGACAAGTACCTCTTCGGAGAAAAGTAACTATTCTAACAGCAACTAGCTGGATAGATTTAAGAAGATCTGGTTCAGTTTGATTACAATGATTCCATACAACACTAGCATACTCAAGATTTGGAAGAATATATGACTTGTATATTATTTCTAGAGATTTCCTATCAATTTTGTGTTCGATCGACCTAAATACAACCATCTTATTACATGTATTATTATATATGAAATTGATTTGATCAGACCACAAACCATGGCTGTTAAAAAAATACCCAGATGTTTATGCTGTTTTACATTTACCACAAAATTGTGTTAAGAAATGAGAGATCAGGATGCATTTCATCTGCATTCAATTTATTTGATAGAAGAAGAGTTTCTGTTTTACAAGGATTCAATAATATACCCCATTTATGACCCAAGATAGATATTCTATGGAGATCATTGTTTAACATTTCAGCAGTAGCATTGTTATCATTTTCTATAAGTACAAATAGTGAGGTATCATCTGCAAACAATTCACATTTGTCTCAATTTTATTTTCGAGGTCATTTATATTTAAAAGAAATAAATATGGCCCGAGGACCGAGCCCTGTGGGACACCGGCTGTAAGTGTAAGCCAAGAAGACATTTACCCATCATTTATTACTTGTTGCTGTCTTTTAGTTAAATAATTAAAAAGCCATTTAAAAAAATTGTCTTCAATGCCATATTTTCTCAATTTGTACACAAGACCATCATGCCAGACCCTATCAAAGGCTTTAATAATATCACAAAACACAATTCTTGTCTCTTTTCTTCTATCAAGTTGCTTGAGAATTGAATCATATATTGCTTATAGCAGGTTAACTGTAGAATCTTTGGGGAGGAGTCCAAATTGGTTCTTAGAACTTATATGATTTCTTGAAAGATAATTAAACAAATTTTTGAACATAATTCTCTCAAGCAGAATAGTAATAGAAATAGGTATGTTGTTTGATGGGTAACTTCTCTCACCTTTGCCCTGGTATACAGCCGTGACACGTTTCCAGACATTAGGTAATTGACCGGATTCCGCTGATTTATTACAAAGAATATGTAATGGTTTTACAAGAGATTCAGATACACCTTTGATAAACCTAGGGTGTATCACATCAGGACCTGCAGGCTTTTTTTTTTTTATTAATGAGTTGATGTTGATCATCAACATCTTGTTCAGTAATATTGATATTAGTTGGTTGATGAGGTAAAGTAGGAGGATTTGGAGGAATGATTTCAATAGTTTTATCTGATGTAGAAATAGATGTGAAAAACAGCTAAATGTTTCCGCCTTATCTACGGATGGACTTTCAATTCAACATTAATTTCCAGAGGATAGTCAGTATTATTTTTTATTTTAGAGGTAACAACAGATTTGGCAATTCTCCACCATTTACCTGGAGGGATGTTTTTGTTAATAATATATTTTTGTAATTTGCTAAGATATGTTTTTTTGGCATCTCATTGAAATAACTGAATTATGTAATTGTCTGTTTTTATTCCACGAGCAGGGAGTATTTATTTGTTTCGCCTAATGATGTTGCCTCATTTTCAGCCGGATTTCATTATTCATCCATATTGTATCATTAGATCTAATTGCCAATGCCCTTTGTGGTACAAATCTGTCAATACAAGCCATTAGCTTATTGGATACCATTTCATTTAAGATTTCAATATCATCAATTTTACTCAGCTCTTCATCCCAATCAATTGTTGATAAATAAGTATTATCACTGGCAAAATCTGCATTATTAAAATATATCAAAGTTTTTTTA